GAGTGTGTTATGAGGCCGCCGGTTCTAGGAGAAAGGTGGTGGGGGAGTTGAGGTTGACATCTTCTGTGTTTTATTTAATTTACCTAAATTAAAGGGTTTGATAACTTAATTACTCCCTCCGTCCCAAAATTATAGTCCATATTTCCTTTTTGGTTTGTCCCAAAATAATAGTCCACTTCTAAAATAAATAACATTTTTACCAAAATACCCCCTCATTATTACTTAACAAACTAAGCATTTAATGTTCAAAGTAAGGATAAAGCTGACATTTTATTAAATAAAGTTAGTGGTAATTAATGTTTTTTTTAATATGTGTGTTTTTTGTCTGTGGACAATAATATTGGGACGGAGGGAGTATTTAATATCAAAATTAATTAATAGTTAAGATTACAATTTTACCTTTATCTATGTTTTGAAAATGATTGGTCCACATTTAATTTTTACATTCACATATTAGTTGTTCATCCATATATATATATATATATATATATATATATCTATATATATATATATATATATATATATATATATATATATATATATATATAAAAGGTCCGGTGCCTGTGAGAACTCATTTTAAAGTGAGGACTCGTGAGGATGTCTTTATATATATATATATATATATATATATATATATATATATATATATATATATATATGAGTTTAGCTACCCATTCCTTATATCCGACGTCATATAAGTTAATATACCAGACCTTTTTTCTTCCTCGTACTCACATCTATGAGCCACCAACATCCTCTGATCGGTAGTGAAGTTTACTAAGCCCAATGAAATCTTCATCTTTTGCTGTTCTTCTATATCTCGTATCCACCGCTACCAATTTCGCCGGAAACTTCGTCTGAAGAGTATGTTGGAGGTGATGTGATCGTTGGGGATTTGAGTTAAGATCCGGTTATTCGAACGTCCAAAATGTATTTCGATCCCACAAACATATTTTCGATTTATTTCTCGGGTTCAAGGAGTCACAGTCGTCCATCTTTCCAATAGGTTCGCCCTCCACCTGATTTCATGCCTCACTCCAGTTAACGAATCCAACTCAACGAAAAGGTGGTGATAAAATCCACCTATTGCTAACCTACCCGATTGTGTATTTTGCTCATGTACAACACTTTACACATTTGAATGGGCTAGTAGGGGAAGAACATAAGGTTTTCACATAAGGTGCTCGATGAAATGTCCGAGATAAAGTTAATATTCTGATTAAAGGTTGTTGAAATGTATAGGATGACATACATGAGTAATTATTTACATAAATTTCATCTGTTGGAAAGAAGGTTCAAATCCATGAGTAATTAGTGGTTTTACTGTTTTCATTGTTACCCTTGTTCCTTTCATCCTTTTTTCCTCCAAGAAAACCAAAGGTGCATCATATACTAAACTTAATTTATATTATTATTCTTTTAATGTTACATCCCAAGTTTCATTTTGGCTTATGGGGTCCATCTGGTTTATTCTGAAAGACTTAATTATAAGTTTATGTGTTGTCGTGAACAAACATGGTCCATAGACCTTGGATTTTTTAAGTAATTCAAGCTTGTTAAGAGCACACAGCTTAGCCATAATATTGCCAAGTTCAGATTTGCTCTTCCTACACCTACTTCAGTCTTGGGACATCCTATTGGACAACATATTAGTTACAGATATAGTAAAATGGTTTTCCATTTCAAAATTTTAACAAAGTTGACATGAAATTCTACAATGTACTTTTGTTTATTTATGTTTTATAACTTTCATTTCTTTCTATTACAAAATTATACCTTTTTTTGTCAAGGCATCTTGCTATGAAAATCTACCCAAATCTATTAGTGAAGTCTGGCATTCTTATAATTGGGTAGAGTTTTAATAGTACAATGTTGAAATAGGAAAGAACGAAAGTAGGATGCTATAATAAAAAATCAATGAAAGTACATTGCTATTTTATGCAGTTAAACCTATAAATTTTGAACTCAAAAATGCATATACATCAAGGAATGTTTCTTTGTTATCAATCAATTTTTTTGTTTTGTATATGAGCCTTTAGGTGCATCTCATCCATGCTAATGTCACAGCTGATGACATCCTTCTTAAGGCAAGTAAATAATTAGTTATAATATTATATTGTTTTAGTTTCTTATATTTAATTTAGGTGTTGATGGATAATTTTAATTATTTGATGATTATGGGTTACAGGAAGAACCGGAGGGAATTACTTCAAATTACCCTATCTGCTTCAATGTTTAAATACGTGAGTTTACATACACTCAGGTTTACGACTAGTTTAAAGAGTGTTTGCCCAGCACAAAGAATCCAAAAAACATGATCAGCAACATCATTGAGGTTGAATTCTATTTTTTGGGACAATGGCAAAATCGTCCAACCAAGGGCATACTTGAAGAATTGAAAGAATTATATAAACTTTAGAAAAAGTTGGGCTTTAGTATAGTAATTAAACCATGTATATGTTGACAAAAAGTATATAAACCATGTATTGTTTTTGTGGATTAAGCTGAAATAACATCTGAAATAACAATGTACTTATCATTTTTGAATCAAAATTAAGAATGCACTTATACTTTTAACAACTGTAAGACCATACTTGTAAAAGTTTCATTTTAACCCAAAATGACGACATGCTTTCGTTTTTAACCCACTACTGCAATATAGTTCATTCTTAACCCAAAATAACAACATACTTTTTGTTTTTACCCACAGTTCCAACAAAGTTACATTTTTAACTCTAATGACAACATACTTTCGTTTTTAACCCACAATTGTAGTATAGTTTCATGCTAATTTTGTGAAACATTGGACGTGATCCTAATCAATCCTCTTGGAGATAAAAAAAAAACAAAAATCTAAATTGCAAAATAAAAGGAAAAATCCAAAAATTCTATTTTTAAATATTATTTTCGTTATTTAATTTATCCAATAAATAAATAAATAAATAAAATCATTGTTTTTTTTCGAAATATGAGTGAAATATTATAATAGAATATTACACTGTAAATAATCAAATCAAAATTTTAGAACGTTAGAATACTCTAATATTGTACTAAAATTGATAGATATGTTAAAAGATTCTAATATTCTAATTGAATTGTTAGATTTGTTAGAATATTCTTATATACTATTAGAATTTTTTGAATATTTATAGTTTAATATTCTAGTAGAATATTCTAACATTATAATAATTCAATTTGAATATTTACAGTATAATATTATATTAGAATATTTCACGTATATTTTGAAATAAACGGTAATTTTCTTTTAGTTTAATTTTTTTTTTTGGATAAATTAAATGACGAGAATAATATTTAATTTTTTTTTCGAAAAATTTCATTTATTTTGCATTTAAAATATTTTTTTATTTCCAAAATAAATGGCTAGGTTTGCGTCCCATGTTTTTGATAATATAATGGTCTCACATGAACGTAACCCTATATATATATATATATATATATATATATATATATATATATATATATATATATATATATATATATATATATATATATAACTTACTTTCCCAGTCCTTGGGCTTTCAACCAAAGCAAGAAGCGAAGCCCAGCCCATAACCATACATCTGCATTCTGAAATTTATAAACTAGAAAATGAAAAAGCTAATGAACATAAACATATATAGGGGAAAAATAAGAACAGCCAAAACCTTACCTTATTTTAGCAATGCCAAGATTGGAACTTTAATACCACACCTTTTTAAAAGAATGTGTCAACACAGTAGGGTTGAATGTATGTTAATTTGTATCCTAAGTAAGAAATTACTGTTATGGAAGCTAAAATTTTGCATTCAAGAGGTAGAAATGAATCAAAATACTTAACAAACTCTTTAGCGACAACACGTTGTCCCTAAATCTATGCCTTTTGCTATGAGTGTGGTTGTTAATAGACTCTTTTCTTGTAGAGACCATCTGGACAATCTAAAATGAATAAGTAATCACATAGGGGTACATCGCAGTTACTTTCGGTATTTTGACTGACCGTCAATGTTTGAAACTTGATATTTCTTTATGGAATTCCGCTTTCTGCCCCTCAACTCATCTGATAGGCTCACATCAGAGGACTAACCACCGTCAGAATACCAAAGAGTTTCTAATCCAATGGTATCAGGTGTTATATTTCAAGGGAAATGTATTATTGATTTCTTAAAATCTTTTTATATAGAATGAGTTAAATTTGGTAGATATTGCCAAATTCCTAAAAACTAAAATTTGGGAGAAATTTAAAATTGGAGGTTTAAATGGACGATTTGGCGACGACATGTGATGTGGGTAATCAGAAGTTTCGGACAATCGAGAGGTTTTCAAGAAAATAAAATAGGCTCCTATATGTCTTTCTAGCCCCGAATACTTCTAACCGATAAAAAATTACATTCCTTTTTAAGTTGGGCCTATTTTGGCCCGTCTGTCTTTCTTCCATTTATACCTACGGTTTCTGTCGGGTCGGTTCTTCTCTGCACCAAATGGGTAAACTTGAGTTTGGTTTGTTTTTGTGGGTCTTTGGATTGAAGCAGAGCTCTGCGTGTAGTCACTTTAAAGTGAATTTTTTGATTATTGAAGATGGTTGGATCATACATTTGGATGATTGTTTTTGGATTAAAGAACATGTATTTTTCTATTTCCTTGTTTACAAATTAGCATATTACAATTTCACCGAAAAGTTAAAAAAAACTGTTTTCAATTTTAGGCTGAAACTTATTTTACGTTAAACTTTAAAGTGACTAAAAAAGTCAACAAATGGGAAGGTTTTGACCTCAAGTTATGTTGATGGTTCCTAAATTTTATTTCACAAATATTTTCTCCAATGACCGTTTATTAATGACATTACCTTCGCCAAACCATGTATCTTAAACCAACAAATGCCTACGTCATCATCTTTCTCCCCTCACACCCCCAACACCCACATCCAAAATATCATCAAAATTTGAATAGGCCGGAATTTTTTATCTCCGGCCAAGTTTTCCGACCAATCTGGCCTTTGGGAAATGTCGACAACCCCCACGAATGCCCCACCGCCTACAATACCATACACATCTCCTCCTATTACAGTCATCCTAACCATTATTCTCCTCCTCTTTTTCTTCATAGGTTTTTTCTCTATATACTTCTGTAGGTGCTTCATGCAAAACCTATTTTACACGTGGCATCGCCAGAGTCCCTCCAGGGCCCCTAGGGTCCCTGGAACGGACAGTGCTGCCCCTGGACTTGACCCTTCGATCATAAAAACTTTCCCAACGTTTCCATATTCGAGTGTCAAAGAATATCGACGGGAGAATTATGGATTAGAATGCGCGATATGTTTGTGTGAGTTCAAGGATGAAAACGTGCTCAGGCTTCTAACCAAGTGTTGTCATGTATTCCATCAAGAATGCATCGACCTGTGGCTCGGATCACATAAATCCTGCCCATGTTGTCGGTCTAGTCTCGACACGCCTATCAACTCGCCGGAAAAATCTCCGGTTTCACTGGATAGCGGACATGGTATGAATGAAGTTCGAGAAAATGGTTCGAATGGTGATTCTGTTAGTATCGATATTAGAGATACCAATGAGATCAATGGCGATAGAGATGAAAGCAAGATGGAGAAGCATGTGGTTATTAAAGTTAATGAGGATAGAGAAGGAGAACGAACACAGAAGACAACAGAAGGGTTCGGGAGGTCCAAGTCCACCGGGCATTCAATTGTTAAAAAAAACAAAGGATGTGAAAATGATGAAAGATTTACGTTAAGATTGCCTCAAGATGTGCAAGCTAAACTTATTCCGAGGCATAATTGGACAAGAAGTTGTACAGAATTTGGTGAATACAAAAGCAAAACTTCGTCTAGCAATGCTGGTTTTGGCGAGGTAACTCTAGATAGAGATGAACGCAAGGCCTAGGATAGGATACCAATTACCAAACCAACATGTATCGGTAATTTTTTTGGTTTTAGAATTTGTTAGATCGTACATTATATGCGAGAGCAACTTCATATGTTTAACATTGTAAATTTGGTAGGAAAGTATGTATATTTAGATGAGATGATCCTTCTATATGTAAACACTTTTAGATTATATCAAAGAATTCAAATCATTTTTACATGTACAAATGGACAAATACTTCGATGAATGCTGATCACAAGGACATGGGACAATATTTTTTTGTAAGATTTGTTAGTAGGTATCCAGTTATCCTTATTAGATTAGGTTTGTATAGTCTATATAATTAATTGTATTTTTAAGTTTGGCAGGTCTTAATCACATTTTTTTTTTGAAACGGAAACAGGTCTTAATCAGAATTAGATTATGATTTCTTTTTCTTCTATGATACATATCCCTTTAATAAAATACAAATTACAATTTAGACAATTTAATACCAAACTTTATGATATCCACAAGGGGTAAATAACATAAACGACACTCAGTTTACACAAAAATTCTAATTTGACACTGTGTTTTTTTTTTACTAAAATTTAACACTGCGTTTTTCAATTTGTTACAATTCTGACAACTTGACCGGTCAACCAGGTTACATGCTGACGTGACATGATGACGTGTCGGTTTTGATGACGTGGCATGCTGACATGATATGCTGACGTGTCAAAATTGGTTTTTTTCCACAAAAAACACTATATTTTCACCTTTTTTCGATTTTGACACTAAGTTTAATTTTTTCTTTTAATTTTGACACTATGTTTTTTTTGTTCCAAATCAAACATCATTTTTTTCCAATTTTGTTCAATGTTGACAATTTTTTATTTGAAACCATATAAATATTTTTTAATACATTTAAACCGTATAAATACGTTTTTTTCAATTAACAACCATATTTTTGTATAAATACAAGGTTTTTTTACATTCAAACCATAATTTTATGTATAAATATGTATTAGTTATATAAAACCGTATTTTATATTAAATACACAACTTTAAAATGAGTTTGAAGGTTTGGAGGCGTGTAGTCGATCAAAACCCGGATGTCAAGTTTGTAACCCGTGAAATTTTTGCATCTTATTAGAAGCTTATGGTTAGTTTGATTCTCATGATATGACTAATGCATATTTATACATTATGCTTTGAATATAAAAAAAAAAACAAAAAAAACCAAAAAAAGAAACACCTTGTATTTAAATAAAAATGTGGTTTTTAAACGAAAAAAATATATTTATACGGTTTAAAATGTAATAAAAAATATATTTATATGGTTTCAAATGGAAAATGGTCAAAATTGAACAAAATTTGATAAATGATGTTCGATTTGGGACAAAAAAACATAGTGTCAAAATTAAAAGAAAAAAATTAAACTTAGTGTCAAAATCGGAAAAAAATGAAAACTTAGTGTTTTTTGTGGAAAAAGAATTCAATTTTGACACGTCAGCATATCATGTCAGTATGCCACGTCATCAAAACCGACACATCATCATGCCACGTCAGCATGTAACCTGATTGACTGGTCAAGTGGTCAGAATTGTAACAAATTGGAAAACACAGTGTCAAATTTGAGACAAAAAAAACACAATGTCAAATTAGAATTTTGGTGTAAACTGAATGTTTTTTATGCTATTTACCCTATCCACAAGTAGAAAAGCTGTTTCCGGACGAATTTCGGTAACTATAGTTACCGACTGATAGTGACCGAATTTGATTTGACCAACGTTGACCATATTGGCGACCGAATACAAAGGGATAGAAAAGTAATACTAAATAAAAGTTTATTTTTAAAAAAATTCCGTAGCAATTCTACAGAATTTCATTCTGTCCGTATTGAAATTATAATATCCACTACTAGAAAAGCTATTTCTGACGATTTCTATCACTATTTACCGACTAATTACAGATAGATAGGAAAAAAGAAATAAAAAATTATTTTTAAAAAATTTCCATCACTAAGCTATACTAATTACAGATGGATTACTGTCATAATTTCATTTTTTCTAATCCGTTGGTAGATTAGGATTTCATTTTCGTCGCTGTTTTCTGCCCAGGCATAACTATAAATTACAAAAAGCATTAACATGTACTAAAATGAATTTTAGTTATTGTAATATAATGTTTTATTAAAACAGTAAAAATAGTTTAACATAATTTATAAAATAACATACAGATTGATAAGCTAACTTGAAATAGTTTATTAATAAGTTAAAACTAGGTTACAAACTAGTTAGACAAATAGAACCTTAGCCACCAAAACTTGTGTGGCCACATGCTCAATACCTCCTCTAAAGTTCCTAGGCAACGAAAATTAGGGGGCAGGATTTCCCACGTATCCTACAACAACGGCATTTATACCGACGATAGGAAATGAAGAAATCTTTGAAAAATTTTAATTACATGTTAGTGACACAGGAATTGTGGCCCTAAAGGGCTCGTGGATTGAAATCAAATTGTGGTAGTGATAGAAATATAGACCTCCGAATGACTAAAGAATAAAAATTGATGCTGGCATAGTACAACGATGATGAAGTCGTTTTACTTTTACTTTTTCCTTAGGTTTGTAAGAGCTAATCTTGGGAAGGTGAAAAATCTTTGATATGTTATTCTAAACACATAAAGTGAGAATCAACGGGTTCTTTACATAGCACTCTGAACAACAACCTTACATGCATCAGCAACTGTGAACTTAGATATGTTGGGAAGTTGCTGCCACTAGCTGTTGTTCCGTGAAAGTACATTAAATATCCAACTGTTTTTTTTATGGTTTTAAGTTTCATAGTTACATGATGCAAAGGGTAAAACACTGTATAGTTTGTGTACAATTGGTACTCTAAATGTAGCATCTCATTTTATCCTCTCCATTTTCGATTTACTGTGGAAAACCAAACCGAGATATGGAGATCTTGAGGAACACTTGCAGTGACCAATTTAAGAAAGGATAAACACCGATTCTTGGGCACATCAACGTACCAACTGGTCCACAGATGTTCTAGGAGTCTACTTCCTTATATTTGATGATTTTTGTTAGGGAATTCAAGTGGAGATATATATATTTCATACAACTGACAGGTTGCATATTGCAGTTTTGTGTGAATTGTTAATTGAAAGACACATAAACTTGGTAATGAAAGAAAAGTGGCAACATAAAGAAATTTATGTAGAAATGATGTCAAGATTTTCAATAAGAGTAGGCAAGTTTTTTTAACTCTATCTCTAATTAAACTACCTTATTACAAATGACATGTTCTAGCTGGATAGCTTTTTATATTAAATGGAAGGTTGGCCGTACCTTTTTCTTCCGTAATCTTGATCTTTCTTGTTATTCTAAATTGGTATGTGAGCTAGCTAGATAGGTGAACGTCGTGTCTAATGCGGTCATTTATCATGTGTTTGTAGCAAATACAAATTTTTATTCTAGAAACACATCATATCCTGTCTGCCTTTTCCTTATGAAGCATTTCAACATGGCATTAGCTAGCATTTTATTTAATTAACCTTAATGCATAATTAAACTGATATTTCCTTGACATTGGTTATAATACACAGCTTGGTTACATGTTGAAATTGAAATATATTGGTTACTAGTTTAAGCAACGACTAGGGTAAAAATTTAATCAAAGTTAAAGGGAAATTAAAGAATGCCTTTTTTAAAACTCTATGCTCCTTCCTACAAAAGCAGTGTTGCTTAAGAGTTATATATGTTTCTTGGGGTTTTCTCGGATGCCATCGATCGATTCTTGAAGCAATTTGATATAAATGTTGGCACTAGGTAATTAAAGTTACTCTTTTTATTTTTATTCTATAGAAAGGTGATATATTGTTAGCATACAAAAGGCTCTCTTCCAATGGGTCATGATGTATGCACAGAAGATAGGGTGCGGACAACATATATATATATATATATATATATATATATATATATATATATATATATATATATATATGCCCATAGATTATGAGAAGTTACCATGTACAAATGTACAACTGGTTTTTGCCTTGGCTTGGATTGCATTTGCATGGTTGTGATGTCAAATTATATATATGAAATTGTACAGTCCTGATACCGTGCAGTAGGTCAGTTTTGATCTTTGTCTTGAGATGGTAGAAATGATGAAGGTGAAAAACAGTTTGACAAGTGATGGGGTTAAGTTGGGGATTGAATGTGAATGATTGGTATAATATGTTGAGTATTATTAGGAAGAGAGATGATGGATGATGCTTGTTGTCACATGGCAGGGAGGTGTCAGACAGGTTGGACCATGGTCCGAGTGAGACCACCCCCACCCCCACCCTCTCACCAGTCATCTTCACCAGAACTCTACTGTTCAGTCCCACTGCCCCTGCCCTTGTTTCCTCATATTTTTTTATATGAGAGAGAAAACAAGTGTTGTTTTTTTTCATCGACATGAGAGAGAAAACTGATCTTTTTTTTTTGTTCTTTTTTATTATTATTGCATTGACCTCTCTATCCACAACAAAATAAAACGATTTGTTTATTTGTGGGTCTAATAAGGGTGCTTAAATTTTTGTAGCTTAAATTCAAAATGTATTTCAAGAACAGTATATAGAGAAAGATATTAACGTAACATACAATAATAATAACAAAACAAAACCCAATCTTCATACCAAAATGGGACATAGAGGTTAGCTGTAGACTATTCTACCTTCATCCGGGAGTAGAGAGGGCCGTTTACATAGAAGAGAAAAAATAAAAATATTAAGTCCTGCATTAGTCACTATATTTTTGTTGAATGAAGGCGGTGAAAACTATGTATTTAACAATAAGGACTTGCTCTCAACTATAGGTGGCCATTGCTTATGGATGTGATTATATCTTCCACATTTTTTTATTAGGTAAAACGATGATCGTTCAAGAGTTGAAGTCCACAGTGATCAAATTATATTTTGAAATGTGTTGAGTTGTGGAGAGTAATTGGTTATAGGAGGTGTCAAGGGTAGTGACGGAG